AGATAGATAGATAGATAGATAGATAGATAGATAGATACGAGCAGACTGCTATAGACAGATACATAGATGCGAACAGACTGAGATAGATAGATAGATAGATAGATAGATAGATAGATAGATAGATAGATAGATAGATACGAGCAGGCTGATATAAACATATCCATAGATACATAGATGCGAGCAGACTGAGATAGATAGATAGATAGATAGATAGATAGATAGATAGATAGATATGAACATTTCTAAATTTGGGTAGCAATCCCTCTTTATTGTATATTTTGTTAAAGAAAGACTGATTAGGCATTTTTGTTATTTTTTTAGCATATGCGAACATGTCCCCAAAGGTTTGCTGATTCCGAGAACTTTATCGCGTCATTTTCAATGATTTAGTTATTCTCTTTCTCTGTTCCTTCAAGACGTGAGCGTTCACGTCTCTCCACAACGTCCTGTTTTTTGTAGGTCCTAGTAAATTTTGTCTTTTCGTTATCTCTCCTAATCCCTATCAACCATTTAAACAAGCTCGTTAGGTTGGTTTTTGCATCGTTTTCCTCTCTCTAGCGGAGCCGCCATGTTTACATTGTAACAGCAGGAAAAAAAATGGCGCCATCAAGTACAAACTTCGATAACGTTACCACAATAGTACCAATTATAAATACGCATAAGCAGAAGGTATGGTAAAGTGCGGAATAATTTGACTTAGCCTCGTATTTTCTTGGCGGCCATCTCTCGCAGACTTTATCGAAGCCAAGCTCGTCGTGGGTGATTTGACAGGAAAAACTATGATTAATCTGATCCATGAATAATCAGGGAACATGATAACTTATCGATGATAATTTCGCCATTACCATCTCCCGAGCTTGTTGAATCTTCTCGTCAGTGCTTGAAGGAGGTTGACGGGGGTCTTGCTCCTTCTTCGTGCATCACGCTTGTCCGGACACTTTTAAATTTCTGAATCCACTCATACATACTTCTAGGCGGTTGTGCACTGTCACTGTGTTGTGTTAAAATCCTCCGATGAATTTCAAACCCCTGGCACATCATCCGACCTGAGAAATTGAATCACTGCTCTTTGTTCCTCCTTGGGGTGCACACTGCTAGCGGAGCGGCTATGTTTACATTGTAACAACAGGAAAAAAAATTGGCGCGATCAAGTACAAGCTTCGATAACGTTACCCCAATAGTACCAATTATAAATACGCATAAGCAGAAGACAGACTAACAAACCTAAAGGTATCCTATGGCAAAGTGCAGAATAATTTGACTTAGCCTCGTATTTTTGCACGCAATTTTTTTTTAGATAATAATGAGTTTAGTGATACAATTGTTACTAATTAACACATAGCTGGGGGAGCAGAAGTGGATTCATACCTTCCCCAAGGTTTTATGCGCTTAAATGAATATAACGAACCCAACTGGAATTGGAACTCGGTTATCCGATTAACAATTCTGAGCCATTATCCATTACACCACCCATACATTCAAGCTTACAGCGCCTGGTATTCCCAAGCGGCCATTATCTGGATCCTGACCATGCTCGACGTTGCTTAATTTCGGTATCCCCAGCTCCACCAGTTCAGACATTTACAATTAAGATCGTCCTCGGTCTGACGACAAAGTATATCCGGCAGCAAGATCTCTGATCGGCAGATTGGAGGTTTTGAGGAGCGTGGAAGCACCCCTTAATTGCTGTTGTTCCGCGTTCCACCCTGACCCGGAGTAGTAGCACCTGTTAGGGTCACAGGTATGGGAAAAACGTGACCCCTCCCCAAACAAAAACAAAACCCTATAAAGTATAAAACAACATTTTTATCGTAAAAATACCGGCAATTATATCTTAATATTAAAAATAATAATAGCTAATTATAGTAAAATTAAGAACAATACATCAATCAATTTGAAAGAATTCTTTCATGACATGAATCTATATAATATCCGATATTTTTTTAAGAAATCAAATTGTATTCCAAAATATAACTTCAACAAAACGACAACATAAAACACACATATCACCACCTCTAGTAATCATATCCACACAAACACATATATGCAAAAAAAAGATGAGTATCATCTACCATGTATTCAACTGTGAAAGCAGAATAACATATATCATACTTTTATTACTTCCAAGCTCCCAAGAAAATTAAATTTCGGCATTAAATGACCCATAAGGAGTTGATATGCCGTTAAACAGATAAATTATAAATCAACTTATCTTCGTTGATAGTACAGGAACCGGCCTCTCAACATGGTGTTCCACAAAGCAGCAGTTCTTGAGAAGAAACTATCTGGTGGAACTTCAGTTATGTGTCATGCGTGATACACGCTTAGGCGATCATGTATCGGAAGATACATAACTGACGAGGCAGATTTTTTCCCGCAGTAGGTTGCCATTTCTTTCTACGGTAGACCAGTTGCCATCCAAGGCTATAGAACCCGGTCTGTCCTGCTATTTGCCCATAACTAGGGGGGCGGAGAAGAAGAGGATTCATAACTTTGCCAAGGGTATTAGCACGTAAGTGAATGTAATAGATTCGACTGGAATTCGAACTCGGCTCTCCGATTCCTCAATCCGAGTCGCTATGCCTTATATATATATATATATATATATATATATATCTATGAAAAAATTCTTCAAACTGTATCTGTTTAGTTTTGTAATCCGGTAATTTTAACCATAAGTAAACCTTGACTATTTATATACAGTTATGTGCCATACGTGATACACATACACGCTTAGGCGATCATGTATCTTTCGATACATGACTGACGAGGCAGATTTTTTTCCCGCAGTAGGTTGCCATTTCTTTCTGCGCTAGATCAGTTGCCATCCAAGGCTATAGAAGCCGGTCTGCTCTGCTATTTACCCATAGCTGGGGGAGGGAGAAGAAGAGGATTCCTATAATTGCCAAGGGTATTAGCGCGGAAGTGAACGTAATAGATTCGACTGGAATTCGAACTCGGCTCTCCGATTCCTCAATCAAAGTCGCTATCCATTACTCCACTGGTGGAACTTACTTTTTACTAATGGAACCGAAAGGAATGAGAAGGATTCTCACTTCTGAGTAGAAGTGTTCTTTCTGTTGCCATTTCCTTTTAAGACTTCCTTGTTGCTTATTCGTCTTATCCATGGAATTTTCTGTTTAAAACCAGGAGCTTTCTTGTCAATCCCGTTAATTGTCAAGGAATCAACGAGAGATTCGCAAATCTCAATTCGCGAAAAACCGGTGGGAAGTTAAAACACTGAGGAGAAAAAAAGCTTTGCTTTTGAGTAGATTTATGGCTAGGATTGTGTCAAACTTTGTACTCACTGCCTAATACGTTCTTTCAGTAAAATGAAAAGAAAAAAAAAGGCTTTTTCTTTCCATTTGCCAATGCACTTTGTGCAGGCACTGATGGTTATAGATCAATGGACGAGGCAATAAATTATCAGAACTGAGGTTCTGTTTTTGATGAAACATCCATGTGGACGAAAGAGAAATTTGTAGAACTGGAATGTTTTTTAAAACACACTGACAAGTGTTGAAATCCTGACAGTATTTAGTCTTGTTGAAGTTATTGCTAACAATTTTATCGAGATTTACAAATTCGACGCCTCGTTCAATTTCGAAAAGCAATCGATGAAATTTGAAGAAGCTGATTTCTTTGGAAAAATACTTTGAAAAAAAAAACCTACTTCGCGATTTAACGATTTTTTGACTTGATTTAATTTTAATATTTTCTTTAATATTTATTTCCTTAAACAACATTTTTTAAGAAAATTTCTTTTTATCGTTTTTCTTTTGAACAGCAAAGAATAAATTCTGTCTATATTTCTGAGATGAAATATTATGTACACTATTTACATTATTCAGACTGCCCTCATCTTTGTCGCCATATTTATCACAACGTTTCGGCCGTTGTACGCTCCGGCCTTCTTCATGTGGTTGAAATGTCTAACTGAACCCTTTATTTTTTTTTATTTTTTCTAAGCTCTATACTAAATATTAAATCTGTTACGAAAAAAGAACTAAACAAAACGAACACAACACTGGGGTAGACTGTTCTAGTTTCACGTGCCATGTCTAATGGATGTCAGTTATCAGTTATCTCCTGTTAATTCCCCTCTCCAAGTTCTGCACTGTCTTAATCAACGCCTTTATCCACTGTGCCCTGTGACAGGACCCAAAGAGTGTGAGTTCAATACCCGGTTAAGGTAGTGAAGAACTTGGAAGGAGGAATTAACAAGAGATAATTCATAACTGACATCCAACACAACGCTAAACGCAATCCGCAACACTTGTACAAACAATTTGATACATTTCTACATTAATTTCAGAAAATCTATCAGAAATTGCTTATTTTCGGGAACTGTTTTCCGTTTGAGCCAAGATCTTTCAGTACACCCCACAAGAAAACGTCTGGTGATGTTAGGCCTGGTGATCGTGATGGTCACTCAATTGCTCCACATCGTCCTATGCACCTCAGCTTGAAATTAAGGATTTAACCATTCCCGAACGCGTACGCTATTGGTTAATCTTAATCCATCTTAAGTACTTAATATTAACTACTGTAATTTATTTTTGTTCAATAAAAGTTATTAGGTAGGAAAGGTTCTCTCACAACTTTTGATATATACGTTTTTTTTTTATTTGTTGATATATATATTCATTTATATATAAGTAAATTTCACTATCTTTTTATTGATTATTGATTATTTTCATCATTTCAGAGTTTCTTATAAGTTCCAAAAATGACCCAGCAAATGACCCGCTCTCGTGAACACTGTTGCTGCATAATTAAAAGTCCTGCATAAACTCTGGCCAATCGCAACGTCGTATCAACCAAGTATTCGGAGAATTCACAATTGGCCGACTCACGGCTTACGATTGGGGCGAGAATTTCCAGCCTGACCAATTAGATCGCCAAGATCAATCAAGAAGTGGCTGACCCTCGCACATTGACAATGAACATTTGTACAAATGTTGAAGCTGATCCACACCTGACAGCACGCGAACCGGTTGAAAAATTTGGCATCATTTTTTGCATAAAAAAACTCCTTTTTTTTAAAAAAAAATAGGAGTAGATAGGCTCGCCAATCATCCAGCCTAGACTCTTTCCATGATTATTGAACAGGAGTAGAGGAACATTGCTTGTTCCCTGTTTTGGAGATGATTTATCGGTTCTTACTTCTTCCATGGCCTGCTGCATCCGACCGGTAGTAAGGAGCCCGAACGCTTAGAAACAATGCTCTGATTTATAGACGCATAATATCGGGGTATCTGTAG